GACTTTGATGAGCAACTCACCAGAGTTTGATGAGCAACTCACCAGACTTTGATGAGCAACTCACCAGACTTTGATGAGCAACTCACCAGACTTTGATGAGCAACTCACCAGACTTTGATGAGCAACTCACCAGACTTTGATGAGCAACTCACCAGACTTTGATGAGCAACTCACCAGACTTTGATGAGTAACTCACCAGACTTTGATGAGCAACTCACCAGACTTTGATGAGCAACTCACCAGACTTTGATGAGCAACTCACCAGACTTTGATGAGCAACTCACCAGACTTTGATGAGCAACTCACCAGACTTTGATGAGCAACTCACCAGACTTTGATGAGCAACTCACCAGACTATGATGAGCAACTCACCAGACTTTGATGAGCAACTCACCAGACTTTGATAACTCACCAGACTTTGATGAGCAACTCACCAGACTTTGATGAGCAACTCACCAGACTTTGATGAGCAACTCACCAGACTTTGATGAGCAACTCACCAGACTTTGATGAGAAACTCACCAGACTTTGATGAGCAACTCACCAGACTTTGATGAGCAACTCACCAGACTTTGATGAGCAACTCACCAGACTTTGATGAGCAACTCACCAGACTTTGATGAGCAACTCACCAGACTTTGATGAGTAACTCACCAGACTTTGATGAGTAACTCACCAGACTTTGATGAGCAACTCACCAGACTTTGATGAGCAATTTGCTATCCGAACTGTACGCGTGTTCCCATAAGGCCTTAACTACGTCTGCCTTTTTATACATCCAGCGGTGAAGAGTCAGCCAAAATATCCGCCAGTTCATTTTCCAACACACCGGCATACCTGGAGAAATGATGCACACAATGCTCATCATCCGTGACCTCAGAGGTGAAGCAGGCCTCTTTGCGCGAAGCAGGCTTGTCCACGACTTGTAGTGAAAATTGTGCAACACTGGCTTCCTATTAAACTTGTAAATCTTTCCTGGGCATGTGCCCCTCAAGCCAGCTTTGTTTTAAACTCTAGAGGCTAGCTTCCTTCATAGACAACTTGGCGCTAGATGACTGATGTGGTTAATATTTTGCCTGCCACCTTTACTTTCTAGAAAGGTCTATCGACCGCAAGGCAAAGAGTTTATCACTATGTCCTCTATCGACCGCAAGGCAAAGAGTTTATCACTATGTCCTCTATCGACCGCAAGGCAAAGAGTTTATCACTATGTCCTCTATCGACCGCAAGGCAAAGAGTTTATCACTATGTCCCGCCTCATTCAGTTTTGTTAACACATCCGCCCCCCATCCCCAATTCCCCTAGTAAATAACAGACACGGATGTTTTATTGTTAACTAGCTGAGTGCTCACCCATTTCTTTATTGACAGTATAAATATTCCACCAGCGCAGGTCTCCTGCTTCACTGGAAACCAGGACAGCACTTTCGGTAAACCTGACAGCTGCCCGAGTCTTTAGGAAATGAAGTTTGTCAACTGGAGCTGTCTGCCTGGAAACAGGTTCACTATTTTAGAAATCCACAGATGTTCCAGAATTTAAAAAATAAATGTTTAATTTTAAACAGGTTTCTTAACTATTCAAAATCAGTTCATGTAATTATATTTAGACTGCATGCTGGAGACAACAGAATCTGCAGCCATTCGTACAAGAAAATCAAAACTGGATTCACAAAGTTGCGCGTGTGGACAGGCACCATAGAATACTGAACACGCGCTACAGACATGCTCTCCAAACGAAGTAGAGAGATCCACAGTTTGACCAGTTGGCATTTCAAAGGAAACCCAGATATATGGAACAGCGGGAGACGTGCGTCGCATCACAGACTTCATGGAGGCTTGTGGCATTCACATCTAAAAACCACTGGCAGCAAGAACGAGAACAAAAAGAAGATGTCACAAGTGAGCTGAGCATACCCTAGACCTGATGTTTCGTTTGTTGACCAATCAGCACTCGGTCAATGGCGTGATCAATATCCAGCCGACCATCTTTACTTCTCAGGACTCTGGCATTTTAGGGGAAACCAAACAGCAGGCAGGAAGGGGAAAAAGGAAGACAAAGAAAAAGATCATGCCATCAGGAGGGAATATATTTTAATAAAGGCAGTTATCAGAAGCTGCGACATCGTGATGGCAAGACGCTGGTCTGCCTACTACTTCTTTCTCTTCTTCTGTAGACCTGTTCTGCCTTTCAGTGCCAGGTTTTGACGAGGCATCGGGTGAGAGCCTTGGTATGTACTACGTAGATGCTGATATTTACGGCCTCACATATTTCATCTATCTATCGCTTGCGTGGTCGGCCTCTGGCTCTGCTTCCGTTGTGTCTAAGCGACAGGGATCTCTGTGGTGCACTAGCCGGTGATAGTCTTGGCACATGTCCAAACTATCTGGTAGTGGTCTTGACAACGTTCAAACTGTCCAAACATGTCCAAACTGGCTGGTGGTAGTCTTGGTACATGTCCAAACTGCCTGGTGGTAGTCTTGGTAAATGTCCAAACTATCTGGTGGTGGTCTTGGTAAATGTCCAAACTATCTGGTGGAAGTCTTGGTAAATGTCCAAACTATCTGGTGGAAGTCTTGGTACATGTCTAAACTATCTGGTGGTGGTCTTGGTAAATGTCCAAACTGCCTGGTGGAAGTCTTGGTAAATGTCCAAACTATCTGGTGGTAGTCTTGGTAAATGTCCAAACTGCCTGGTGGAAGTCTTGGTAAATGTCCAAACTATCTGGTGGAAGTCTTGGTAAATGTCCAAACTGCCTGGTGGAAGTCTTGGTAAATGTCCAAACTATCTGGTGGAAGTCTTGGTAAATGTCCAAACTGCCTGGTGGAAGTCTTGGTACATGTCCAAACTATCTGGTGGTGGTCTTGGTACATGTCCAAACTATCTGGTGGTGGTCTTGGTACATGTCCAAACTATCTGGTGGTGGTCTTGGTACATGTCCAAACTATCTGGTGGTGGTCTTTGTACATGTCCAAACTATCTGGTGGTGGTCTTTGTACATGTCCAAACTATCTGGTGGTGGTCTTGGTACATGTCCAAACTATCTGGTGGTGGTCTTGGTACATGTCTAAACTATCTGGTGGTGGTCTTGGTACATGTCTAAACTGCCGACTGGCCAGTAAATAATATCAGTCTATCTTCATAAGCCCGATCCACCACTGGCGTGACATTGTTTCAAATAAAACAGAAAGATCAGTTCATTTGAGATACGTATACAAATGCTCCGCCCCCCACCCCCACCCCACCCCCAGAGAGACAAAAGGGGCGGAGAGCAGCCCTCTCTGACCCTAGGTTTAACGTGGTCCCCGTAACTATCTAAATATCTTCTGATAACTAACCAAAAATTGATGGAATATACCGTATATAAGTTGTTTTTTTTTTCTGTTCTGTTTCTGTTGTTGTTGTTGCAGTGTTTAGATTTGGCATGGGTAGTAATAAATAGTTAGTCATGTACTCTGGTGTGGTTAAAAATGATGTTGAAGAGTCAGACATCATGGAATGTTGAATGTTGAATTAAGAATCGTCATCATAGCACCCGGGACACTCCCTTAAGCACTTCGTGTCCATCTTTAGCAGCAAGCAAAGAGTTCCAATTCCGTTGGCACCAGTAACTGACTGTATATCCGTCTTGCCTTTCCCTTAAGAGTCGAGCGTCGACCAGAAACCCTGGTGACTCCTCGCTACGCCATTCTCCTCAGACCGTAATGATCTATTTGTGACTTCGCTCTGTTAACTCGCTCCCAATGGGCCCTAACATCTAGCTTGGCATACATTAATTCACACCAAGTGGTGCAACTGGTCAGTCTATCTGTCTGCTCATTTTCGAACAACTTGGCATAACCTGGAGAAAATATCTAAACGATGCAAACTACCCGTGACCTCTGAAGTGATGCTTGCCACTCTGCACAGAGCATGTCTGTCTCCACCCTTCTCAACATACTCTATATAAGTAAAGGACCGTTTCTACGTAAGAGACAAGTGGTCTCTATCGTCAGTTCTCAACGTGCCGGTCGCTAACTTTTTATTTGGGGGGTGGAACGACCCTTTCACAGGGGTTACCTTAGAGCATAGGGAAACACATATTCATTGAAGTTATGAAGAAAAATTGTTGTACAGTTGGGAGTCGCCACAACATCAAGGAACTGTATTAAAGGATTGCGGCATTAGGAAGGTTTAGAGCCACTGTGCTATATGATGCCACTCCTTCATTCACAAAACACACACCGGCCGGAATTCAATGTATGGTGTTGCCAACAGTATGCCTTCTGCTTTTACTTCCCAGGAGATTACCTAATACACATTTTAAACACACTCTATGCTCTCTCAATGAATAATATAGACACACAGTCCCCTAATGAGCATGGCGTAGGAGGCAATTGATTTAGGGCTTTTCCTTCAAAGTCGAAGTTCATCTGCCTGACAGGCAAGGAACCAATAATCTGCATACAGATAAGCCAGTTCTGTAAAAAGGCAGTGTACACAAAACTCAAGTTCTCTATCAAGTTCAAGGCTTGGAGTGGAAAACAACCAGAACTTTTCGCTGGGGCTTGCAGCTGGTCAACGTCAGGACACAGAAGCACACTTCATTCCCTCTCAATGTTGTTGAGTTATTTTAATTCCACATAACAACAACACGGGCTATATCTTCTTTTTCACTTACATTGCAACAAATATATCTCCATTTTCTTCTTAGCTTTTATTGACTGTAAAGTTGTGCTTGTTCGTTCACTTCTGGACTTTGCCAGTTTTCTAAGACTTGAATTATGTGTGCATATCCGTTTTACAGATCAGGCTTTATTATATGCAGACTGTTAGTTCTTTACCTCTCATGAAGAAACACTCCGACTTCGAAGTAAACAACCCTAATTAGTCGCCTTTTACAACATTATTGTTAGGGGGCAATGAGTCCATTCCTTGTCCCCCCTCACGCCCCATAAATGAGTCCTGGAACCCACACGGGGAGACACATGCATAAGAGAATCAATGACTGCTGTTGTACTCACCCCTGCTCCACTCTATGAGAGGTCCTGTGTCTGGAGTTAGGGCGTGACCTACCAGATGACCTGGTTCCTGGCCGACCGTCAACCATCGTAGTCTTCATGGCATCCAGTTTTTGTGAGCTTGGATCAGACAGGTAAAAACACAATCAATTGTCTAGATTTGACAGGTGAACTAGTTTCATCAACGTCGTCATCATTAACATCATCATCAGCATCATCTCTACCCTTCCCAACATTCAGTCACCTTGTACCAAGCACAAACTTTAGCAAGTTCTCTCAGAATGTATGCAGGAACTTTCATTATGGCAGACGTTGCAGCGTTGTGGCCAGACGACTGCCTGTCGGTCCTAAGGTCTTAGGTTCCAATCTGCATCCAGTCAGTGCTTTAGATTATTTTGTCTCCTTTAAAATTAGGCTTGCTTCAAGGTAAACCCGACTGGCATGGGCGATAATACCTCTTCACAACCTACAATCTCCAACAGCCTGAATCAGCTCATGTGCTGCCATCCCTCCATGTCACGATAGCAGACAGTCAAGAATCTTTTCATACTGTCTTGTTCGGTCTGTCTTTCCACAAATCTTTAGATAACTTCACTTGAGGTTAAACGCAATAAGTTTTCTAATTTTGACAGTTAAGATAATTTTACATTTGCAGTAAGTCAGACAGAACACACTCATATTTCTAGATTTGACTGATAACCTTATACGAAAGTATGTCGGATAGAAGACAATCCACTTTCTAGATTTGACAGAACACTTTATACGAAAGTAAGTCAGAGAGAAAACAATCCACTTTCTAGATTTGACAGTTAAGATAATTTTACACTGAAGTAAGTCAGAACACACTCATATTTCTAGATTTGACAGATAACCTTATACGACAGTACGTAGGATGGAAAACAATCCACTTTCTAGATTTGACAGTTAGAAACCTTTTACGAAAGTAAGCCAGATAGAACACTATCCATTTTCTAGATTTGACAGTTAGGTGAATTTACACGAAAGTAAGCCAGATAGAACACACGCAGTTATTAGGATCAGTGTTTTTCAACTCCTGGGCTACGGCCCACTGGTATGCCACGGAAAAATCCAGGTGACCGCCCCAGTTGTCAGTCTAATAATGCAATGGTACAGGGTAGGTATGTTTCACTTCAGGATTATTAGTGAAGATTCTATGCCTTAGAACAGGACACGGTCGACTTTGCAGCTACATGTAAACACAATTTAAAATCGGTGAATCAGCCTGGTGCACATGTGAATTAGCACGTGAGACAACAGATCACGTCTGCCAAAACTGTTTAAATACAAGATATCGGCAAAGTTTTGGCCAAGAAAAACAACGGTGCAAGCGAAACTTTACGTGTCGCTGAGTGAATTACAAAAGTCAGTGAAGTTCATACTAGAGACAACATTGCAGAAACATAATATATTTCGAGCGGACAGAAGAAGACGAAGAAAATTTCTAGGATTTCATTGTGGAGGATTTCTATCTCAAGGATGAGAATCGAACTCTACTATAGGTTAGTTGCGTATCCTTTACAGGACGTTGCAAAACCAACCCCAACAGCCCCTGGTTTTTCTAGGCAAATTTACGTCCAGTAGTTTGCCATTGCTTCTGGGCGGTTGGCTTTCTTGATACCACTGTCGAAACCAGCGCAAGGAACATGGCCCGCAGCTGGGATCGAACCCGGCATCCCAGTTTTACGAAGCGTTCGCATCGACTTAACCATAGTTACTCTTTTTTTTTTTTTTTTTCTGCCTTTGTTCCCATATAGAGCATCGTTCCTTCCCTTCCCGACATTCAATCACCTCCAACCAAGTACAAACTGGGTCTCTTTCCTTTTGTGTCTTTCAAATGTATGTAGGAACATCCATTACGGGAGTCGTGGCAGCCTAGTCTGCCGGTCCTTAAGTCTAGGCTTCCAATCTGCATCCAGTCTGTGCATTAGGTTTCTTTTCTCCTTCAAAATTATCCTTGCTTCTAGTTCAACTCAACCTAGTACCGGTTCCACTTAATGACATGGGAAGTATAGGGGGCCGGCTTAAAGTCGACCACAGCACCCACAACATACCAGCGAGTCGTAAAATATGTTTAGCATCATTTTCCCGATGCACCACTGGTATAAACACGTTTCTCTTTAATCCCTCATGTCGTCTGTCTTCCACCCCACCCCATCCCCAAATGGCACTGCCTGCACCCTAAAAGTTGTTGAACTGTATAAATATATATAGTCCCATGACGTGCGTTGGGCTAATTTAAGAATCGAGAACATAGCGTACGGAACATTCTCATAGGATCTCCATGCTCATCTTCAATAGTCAGTGCAAAGTTCGAGTACAGATAGTTCCTAACAGTCTCGGTGATTGTCCATCTGGCTTTACCTCTGCTTATTAAGAGTCGACCATCACGGTCTAGCGGCTAAACGCTCGGCTGCGAATCGCAAGGTCGTGGGTTCAGTTCCTGACGAGGGCCGGATTTTTTTTTCAAAAATTACCTTGGCTCCAAGGTCGACCCAGCCTAGAGTGGGTACCAGGTAGAGTCCTGGGAAGTAAAAGCGGTCAGCGTGATGCTGACTACGTCACCCACCAAATGCCGTTCGGTCTATAAAACATAGGTCTAGTCCTATATACCCAATACACCAATCACCAATACTTTTCCCAGACGGTGATGATGTATTTGTACTTCTGCACTGTTCACTCTATCCAAAGAGCAATCACAACATCCAGGTAGTCATGTCTCACTTTAGCACCATTCCTGGAAAATATCTAAAGACCGACAATTGTTCCTTCTTTGCTGCAGCAGGAGCTATGATGTTCTGTAACAAAACTTGACAGTTGTCAAAACACATTCACAACAAAGAACACTATGTCTTACATGCTGGGGGGTTGACCCTTCCTCAGCCTCAGGTACACCCTTTCCGTGTCTGCCTCCCAGACGATGATCTCCCCATCATAGCTGGCAGTGGCCAGGAAATTGGGCGGAGCATAGTCCGAACTCAAAATGTCGTCCTTGTGTAACTGGCCACCTTTCCATGATGTTTTTGCCGGTAAGTATTTATTCTATCATTTTAAATGGGAAATTTAAAGTATGAACAAACTTAGATAATAAATTAAACTATTACAATCACTGTTATATTCAAATGTGCTCAAATAATTCAGTGCATCCCAATGTTAGACGCATTATTTTAAAAGACTGTTGTCGGGGGCCGTAAAATAAACCACTCTTTGGGTTGAAGGGGTTTTCTGTGATTTGTCCCCGGGTGATCCTCCGGGTGTTTAACGCTGTGTGATGAGAAAGTGTGGTAGGACGTCATTCACTCACTTATTTAAAAGTGCAATTAAAACTTAGATAATCTTTACAATAACTATCGAAATTTCAATATCATTTATATGTGTAAAGACCAATTCTTTTCCTTTTTCTTGTTCTTCTTGTTCTTCTTGTTCTTCTTGTTCTTCTTGTTCTTCTTGTTCTTGTTCTTCTTCTTCTTCTTCTTGTTCTTGTTCTTGTTCTTCTTCTTCTTCTTCTTCTTCTTCTTCTTCTTCTTTTTCTTCTTCTTCTTCTTCTTCTTCTTCTTCTTCTTCTTCTTCTTCTTCTTCTTCTTCTTCTTCTTCTTCTTCTTCTTCTTCTTCTTCTTCTTCTTCTGGTGCGGCGGCTGCTGCTTTTTCTACTGCTGCTGCTGCTGCTGCTGCTGTATTCATCCGAGGTAGTTAATTGTCTCCGTTTACAGCATTGCTTTTCGGCCGCTACATTTGACTTCTCCAGGTATTTACTCCCCGGTTAGCCTTCTCGTAATTCTACGAATACGATACTGAGCGTACTCTTGAGTCTTACTGGAGTCTAGGCAGGGCTTGAGTTGGTTGAAGGATTATTTTTTATGACAGAATAAAAGGTGAAAGAAGATCAAAAGAGCACAATGAGTGAGTAATGCTGATCATTCAATGGATAGCAAAAAATGAATAATCAAAATGTTTTAAACCCAGCTAAGACAACTTATCCACACACATACACACACACACAAAGGAAAGATTCAGACATCCTATTTTGGGGAAGTAATGAAAATAAAAACGAACTAGAATAAGTTTCTACAAACGTAAACATTTATGGACGATTAAAAAAAAAAAGAGGAAGATAAGGAGTAAAGATTCTTGACAGCATTATGCAATGCCACTCAACGATGGCGGCCAACAAAATACGCACAATGTAAACAAGTGTGATTATGATTATGATGATGATGACGTTAAAGATGATGACATTGATAAGAAGATGATGTTAAGTTGATTTTTTTCTTTGCGTTCACCAGCTGTAAACTCTGGAGGAAAGTTCTGGTTGTTGGTCCACCTCTGGACTTTAGTCTCCTTCGAGAACCTGAGTCTGCGTGCACATCCGTTCAACAGATCTGGCTTAATTGTATGCAGATTGTTGGGTCCTTGCCTCTCATGCAGATGCACTCCGACTTCAAAGGTAACCCCCAATTAGTCGACTCCTACGACATGGAAAGGCAGTGGTCCTATTCTTGTTATCCCACACAAGCAGCTGAAGTTGATGATGGTCATTTTAGTAGTGATGATGATTTTGATAACATTGATGATGACATCATGATTCGACACTATTAAACAGAGCTGATCTGAAACCTTTTGAAGATGATACGAGGTTACCAACAATGACTGCCCGCGCTCACCATCTCAGCGTGGCATGATAATATAAGGTTGATAATCATTTGGAAAGGATGAAATAATATTTGGGGAGGATGAACTAATATTTGGGGAGGATGAGCTAATATTTGGTAAGGATGAACTAATATTTGGGAAGGATGAACTAATATTTGGAGAGGATGAACTAATATTTGGGGAGGGTGAACTAATATTTGGAGAGGATGAACTAATATTTGGGGAGAATGAACTAATATTTGGGGAGGATGAATTAACATTTGGGATAGATGAACTAATATTTGGGGAGGATGAACTAATATTTGGGAAAGATGAAGTAATATTTAGGGAGGATGAAGTAATATTTTGGGAGGAAAAACTAATATTTGGGAAGGATGAACTAATATTTGGGGAGGATGAACTAATATTTGGGAAGGATGTACTAATATTTGGGGAGGATGAACTTATATTTGGGCAGGATAAACTTATATTTGGGGAGGATTAACTAATATTTGGGGAGGATGAACTAATATTTAGGGAGGATGAACTAATGTTTGGGAAGGATGAGCTAATATTTAAGGATGATAAACTAATATGTGGGGAAGATGAACTAATATTTGGGGAGGATGAACTAATATGTGGGGAAGATGAACTAATATTTGGGGTAGATGAAATAATATTTGGGGAAGATGAACTAATATTTGGGAAGGATGACTAATATTTGGAGAGGATGAACTAATATTTGGGGAGGGTGAACTAATATTTGGAGAGGATGAACTAATATTTGGGGAGAATGAACTAATATTTGGGGAGGATGAATTAAAATTTGGGGTAGATGAACTAATATTTGGGGAGGATGAACTAATATTTGGGAAAGATGAACTAATATTTAGGGAGGATGAAGTAATATTTTGGGAGGATAAACTAATATTTGGGAAGGATGAACTAATATTTGGGGAGGATGAACTAATATTTGGGAAGGATGTACTAATATTTGGGTAGGATGAACTTATATTTGGGCAGGATAAACCTATATTTGGGGAGGATTAACTAATATGTGGGGAGGATGAACTAATGAACTAATATTTGGGGAAGATGAACTAATATTTGGGGAAGATGAACTAATATGTGGGGAAGATGAACTAATATTTGGGGAAGATGAACTAATATGTGGGGAAGATGAACTAATATTTGGGGAAGATGAACTAATATTTGGGGAAGATGAACTAATATTTGGGGAAGATGAACTAATATTTGGGGAAGATGAACTAATATGGGGAAGATGAACTAATATGTGGGGAAGATGAACTAATATTTGGGGAAGATGAACTAATATTTGGGGAAGGTGAACTAATATTTGGGGAAGATGAACTAATATTTGGGGAAGATGAACTAATATTTGGGTAGCTTCACTAATAAAGTACTAATGAATCAGGAATAATCAAACACAGATGACTTCCAGCTAACCTCGGGGTCGGAGTCGTCATAAGAGAGAATCATCCGGTTCCAGCCCATGGTCAAGATGACTTTCTGGTCAGGGAGGTGGATGGTCCCGGTCACTTCGGCTTCCCCAACATTCTCCAGCACGTGCAGGTTGTGACCGTTGTGGAAGTTCCATACCTTGAACAGTGGACACAACTGATTGATGTTTTGGCAGTACTTGTATCATAGGACACTCATAACAAATAAAAAAATAAAAATTATTTATTTAATAATTCATTGTCCTGGATGTCGCTGTGGCGGAGTTGCAAGACTCTAAGGTCGACCCAGCCTTGAATGGGTACCGGATGCAGTCTCGGGAAGTAAAGGCGGCCGGCCTGATGCTGACCACATCACCTATCTTGTGTCAATTGGTCTATAAAATATAGGTCTAGCCCTGAATGCCCTATACGCCTAAGGGCGTGGAAAAGAGTCGTTTACTTTTACTTTTCTACTTCATTGTCCTTATGTGCCATTAAAAGTCAAATAGGGCTCGGAGTCAATTTCTCCATTCCACTCAGTCGTGTGCCGTCACTTCGACATAATGGATATAATACAGTCCAGCATCGTTGGCTTATTTTATCAACATTTACTTCAAAGGTTTCTTTTGGACGTTTTCATAGCATCAGTTTCCCATTTCAGTGCTTGATCTACAATTCTCGGTTTGTCTATTCTCAGAATGTGATCAATACCGCGCCATCTTCTCTGTCTTAAACATGTTACACTGGTGGTTGCCTAGACTTTTCTCTTACTTCTTCACTCCTTGAATTCATTACATTTTAAGTTCATGGTTTTTTTTTTTTTTTTTAGGAACATACAGCAAGGAAAGTACACTCAATAAAATGCCTTCTTCTTGTGATAGTTTGTCATGGGGCTATTCTAATTGTGCCTTGTCATCATAGCTTTCAGTCTCCAGTACTGGCAAGAATTTCTTAGACATTCATTCTTTTATGCCATGATGCCAAATTGCCATGATACAAACTGTCATGACACCAAACTGCCATGATACCAAAATGCCATGATACCAAACTGCTATAATACCAAACTGCCATGATACCAACATACCGTGATGCCAAACTGCCATGATACCAAACTACCATGATACCAAACTGCCATGATACCAAACTGCCATGATACCAAACTGCCATTATACCAAACTGCCTTGATACCAAACTGCTATGAAACCAAACTGTCATGCTACCAAACTGTCATGATACCAAACTGCCATGATACCAAACTGCCATGATACCAAAATGCCATGATACCAAACTGCTATAATATCAAACTGCCATGATACCAACATACCGTGATGCCAAACTGCCATGATACCAAACTACCATGATACCAAACTGCCATGATACCAAACTGCCATGATCCCAAACTGACATGATACCAAACTGCCTTGATACCAAACTGCTATGAAACCAAACTGTCATGATACCAAACTGTCATGATACCAAACTGCCATGATACCAAACTGCCATGATACCAAACTTTCATGATACCAAACTGCCATGATACCAAACTGTCATGATACCAAACTGCCTTGATATCAAACTGATATGATACCAAACTGCCTTGATACAAAATTGCCATGATACCAAACTGCTATGATACCAAACTGCCATGATACCAAACTGCCATGATACAAAACTGCCGTGATACCAAACTGCCATGATACCACACTGCAATGATACCAAACTGCCACGATACCAAACTGCCATGATACCAAACGGCCATGATACCAAACTGCCATGATACCAAACTGCCATGATACCACACTGCCATGATACCAAACTGCCATGATACGAAACTGATCTGATACCAAACTCTCATGATACCAAACTGCCATGATACCAAACTGCCATTATACCAAACTGCTATGATACCAAACTGCCATGATACCAAACTGCCATGTTACCAAACTGTCTTGATACCAAACTGCTATGAAATCAAACTGTCATGATGCCAAACTGTCATGATACCAAACTGCCATGATACTAAACTGCCATGATACCAAACTGTCATGATATCAAACTGCCTTGATACCAAACTGCTATGATACCAAACTGCCTTAATATCAAACTGCCATGATACCAAACTGCTATGATACCACACTGTCATGATACCAAACTGCCAGGATACCAAACTGCTCTGATACCAAACTGTCATTATACTAAACTGCCATGATACCAAACTGTCATGATACCAAACTGTCATAATACTAACCTGACATGATACCAAACTGCCATGATACTAAACTGCCATGAAACCAAAATGTCACGATATCAAACTGTCATGATACCAAACTGCCATGATACCAAACTGCCATGATACCAAACTGCCATGATACTAAACTGCCATGATACCAAACTGTCATGATATGAAACTGCCTTGATACCAAACTGCTATGATACCAAACTGCCTTGATATCAAACTGCCATGATACCAAACTTCTATGAGAAAAAACTGCCATGATACCAAACTGCCATGATACCAAACTGCTATGATACCAAACTGCCATGATAATAAACTGCCATGATACCAAACTGCCATGATACCAAACTGCCATGATACCAAACTGCCATGATACCAAAATGCCATGATACCAAACTGCCATTATACCAAACTGCCTTGACACCAAACTGCTATGAAACAAAACTGTCATGATACCAAACTGTCATGATACCAAACTGCCATGATACCAAACTGCCATGATACCAAACTGCTATGATACCAAACTGCCATGATACCAAACTGCCATGATACCAAGCTGCCGTGATAATAAACTGCCATGATAGCAAATTTCCAAACATCGTCTTTCTTAATCTCTCTTTGGATCTCTTCTCCTTCAGCTTGCCCGTTGTCATTTCCCCCTTATCACCAAAATAAGTTTTTTTTTTTTTTAAGTATTATCTAACGGGTTTTAACTAGTTGTCAGAAAAAGAAAAAACTTTAGGAACTAGCGCCAGGAGAACACGGTTGTGATCAGTGATTCTTGTGAACGTGCGAGTTAGCAAAATCCTGACCATCTAAGCTTAGCGCCACCAGACCATGAATTCTTGAATGGAGGCGACTGTTGAGAGTATCAAGTTTCTAGCACTTCATGTTTATGGCGACTACTCTGGCATGAAGTATACTGATCACAGTGTGTCTTTAACCTCCTCCACCCCCCCCCCCCTTTTTAACCACCAATCCTTTGACGTGACTCTTCCATGTCAAACTCACCAGGCCGCTCTCCAGCCTAACATCCCTTTACCTTGACTATTCCATGTCTAACACACTGTGCCGCCCCCCCCCCCCACCACTAACATCCCTTTACCGTGACTATTGCATGTCAAACTCACTGTGCCGCCCCCCCCCAACCCCAACATCCCTTTACCGTGACTGTTCCATGTCAAATTGACTGTGCCGCCCCCACCCCAAAATTCTTTACCGTGACTGTTCACTATTAAACTGACTGTGATGCCCCCACCCCAATATCCCTTTAACGTGACTGTTCCATATTAAACTGACTGTGCCGCTCCCAACCCAGTATCCCTTCACCGTGACTGTTCCATGTCAAACTCACTGTGCCGCCCCCCCCCCACCCCAATATCCCTTCACCATGACTGTTCCATGTCAAACTCACTGTGCCGCCCCCCCCCCACCCCAATATCCCTTCACCGTGACTGATCCGTGTCAAACTTACTGTACCGCCCCCCCCCCCCCAGCCACCACAACATCCCTTTACCGTGACTGTTCCATGTCAAACTCACTGTGTGGCCTCACGCCAACATCCTTTTACCGTGACTGTTCCATGTCAAACTAACTGTGCCTCCCCCACCCCAACATCCCTTTACCGTGAATTTTCCATGTCAAATTCACTGTGCCTCCCCTACCCCAACATCCCTTTACCGTGACTGTTCCATGTCAAATTCACTGTGCCGTCCCCACCCCAACATCCCTTTATCGTGACTGTTCCATGTCAAACTCACTGTGTGGCCTCACGCCAACATCCTTTTTCCGTGAGTGTTCCATGTCAAACTCATTGTGCCGACCCCGCCCCAACATCCCTTTACTGTGACTGTTCCATGTCAAACTCATTGTGCCGACCCCGCCCCAACATCCCTTTACTGTGACTGTTCCATGTCAAACTCATTGTGCCGACCCCGCCCCAACATCCCTTTACCGTGACTGTTCCATGTCAAACTCACTGTGCCACACCCAATACAAAATCCCTTTACCGTGACTGTTCCATGTCAAACTCACTGTGACGCCTCCCAGCCCAAAATCCCTTTACCGTGACTGTTCCATGTCAAACTGACAACGCCGCCCCCCCCCCCACCCCAACATCCCTTTCCCGTGACTGTTCCATGTCAAACTAACTCTGCCGCCCCCCCCCCCGCACCCCAACGTCTCTTTACCGTGACTGTTCCATGTCAAACTCACTGGGCCGTCCCCACCCAAACATCCTTTTACCGTGATTGTTCCATGTCAAACTCGCTGTGCCGCCCTTCACCCGAACATCCCTTTACCGTGATTGTTTCATTTCAAACTGACTGTGCCGCCCCCTTCCCCCCCCCCCACCCCAACATACCTCTTTTACGTGACTGTTCCATGTCACACTCACTGTGCCGCCCCCACCCCAACATCCCTTTACCTTGACTGTTCCGTTTCTGGCAGCAGAAATAAGACGCCTGCAGGTCTGGTCAAAGGTTAAACACGTGATCTCCTCCCCGTCATGCGCGTTAGGAAACACCACCGACTTAGTGCCAGTCTCCACGTCCCAGATAGCAATGTTCGAAGAATCGCATCCTGTAACAACCTGTAGACACACACACACGCGCTCATTATGTAACAAAACAATCTGCAGATATATATACACGTGCGCGCATCCTGTAACAACCTGCAGATACACACACATCCTGTAACAACCCGAGAAACAGACGCATTATGTAACAACCTATAAACACATACATATCATCTAACAATATGCAGACTTGAGCACATCAGGTAACAACCTACAGACACACACGAATCCTGTAAAAACCTGAGAAACAGACGCATAATGTAACAACCTATAAACACATGCATATCATCTAACAATTTGCAGACTTGGGCATATCAGGTAATAACCTACAGACACACACGAATCCTGTATCAACAAGTGAACACATTCACATAGTATAAGAACCTACAGACACACACACATTACATGTAACATCCTACAGACACACACACACACACACATTACATGTAACATCCTGCACACACATACAAACACATTACATGTAAAAACCTGCAGACACACACACATTACATGTAACATCCTACAGACACACACACATTACATATAACATCCTACAGATACACACACACATTACATGTAACATCCTGCACACACACACAAACACATTACATGTAAAAACCTGCAGACACCCACACATTACATGTAACAACCTGCAGACACGCAGGCATCCAGTATCAATCAGTAATCAGACACTTCATGGAAAAACCAGCAATGCCACATGCACAACCTGTAAAAATCTGCAGGCACACACACACATTGTATGAAAATCTGCAAACACACGCACACAATGTAACAGCCTGCAGGCCCACATACACAACCGAGTCGACTCCTAGACAACGATAAGATGGAGCAAGCAAATCAGCTAATCAGGCACAGTCTTCACAAAAAAAGGTTGGCTCCAATACATCTTTAATATGCTCTACTATCGCCCTGGATGTTCACTCTTTCAGACTGCTGTTTGTCCATCTCTTGGCATTATCCTCCCAATTGTATCGCCGTCTCCCTCTTGCTTGTTTGCCTTTAACGTTTCACTCCATTATGATTTTTAAGAGTGTTATGTCTTGATCTCCTATCATGTTACACTATTTTTGTCACACAACTCTCTTTTCCTTCCACAATCTGTACTGTGTTTAGGGCATCAAGGGTTCTTAATACGGCCCTGAATGATGGTGATCTCTAAAGAAAAATGAAATAATTCAAACGGACACACCTGTTTCAGAAGCTTGTTATAGATAGCACAGCACAGCTGAGTATCGTGTGTAGTCTCTGTGTGAGCTGTGTTCTCCTCGGGCCTGCCCAACCTCAGCGAGGCGATGAAGTCGTTGCAGGTGAGAATAAATGCACTGTGTGGAGCTTCTTGCAAATGTACAGGAAACTGACCGTGCTCTGGAATGCGCCCGTTGAGGGAGGATGGGAATTTGAGGGATATCGTCTGCAGGCATCTGTGTTCCTTTGTGTCCCAGACTTTGATTACCTAAGCCAAACATTTACAATCAAACATGCACTTTCCGATTTAATAAACTGCATCTGTATTATTATTATTTCAACCTTCAGTCATTCCAGACTGAAGTCTTACACTGTACTATTGGGAGGCATAAGAATCACACCCCATGGTGATGGCAAATATGACTAGCAAGACCCGTTAATAAATGTCTTCCACAATTAGAGAATGGGATTTCAGTACCATTGTTATCATCACAAGTATTTTTTTTCTCAAATGCTCAGCTCTTAACCTGTCTGCAATCATTTGTTATCTTTTTTTCCCCATTCCCCTCCTGATTCTCCCCTTCATGTAACATGGTCCATCCAAGAATCCACCTCAATACTTGCACCATTCCTGTCCCGCTTGCACAATATCGCAGTGGAGGCCGACATCGACATCTTCTCATCATCATCATGTAGCAGGTCCTTTGCAGAACGTCGCTCTCATAACAGTCTGCCTGAAAGAAACTCGGTCTCTCGCCAGTTCTCCCGCCTCATGCACTTTCACACTTAAGGAGTCACTAATATCATGTGCCCATCTTCGTGTCGGTCGGTCCTACCCCTCCTTCCTGGTACCATGCCTTCTGCAATAATTTTTTCCAATCCGTAGTGGCACTTGATGTGACCAAAATTATTCAGCTTTTGACATCTTCTACTGTCTGTAATTCATCATACATGGTGTTCTTGGGCACTCTACCATCTTCTTCTTTTTCTTCTTCTTCTTATTATTATTCTTCTTCCTAGTCCTCCTCTACCTCTTCCTCCTCCTCCTCCTCTTCTTCTTCCTCTTCTTCTTCTTCTCCCTTTTCTTCTTCTGAAGATCGTAAGGCAAAAATATTGTTGAAAATTGACTTTTTACTTAGTTCTTTCATGTTACGAAAACTTCAAACTGTTGTTTACCTTCTTCTGATACAACTGTCGATACTTATGCAAAGTGGTCTGTGCCAAATCATCCATAGCTGGGATCAAAACAGCACGCTGAAATTATAAAGTGCGTTTACAACGCCTAAGCCCAGACACCGACACATTCTACCATCAGAAAGATTAACGCAGCAGACATGTAGGAGTTAAAAAGTTACAGAAGCTCTTACCGCGTCCTTCGAGTAACTGAACACTTGCTTAAACTGCTCATGTAGAACCACACCAATGATGCCAGTCACGTGCCCTGATAAGGTGGCTATGGGTGAATTTGTAACGTATGGGTTCCACAGTCGAACGACGTGGTCGCCGCTGCCTGTCGCCAGCAGATTTAGGTTCTTGTTGTGGTCAAAGCACTCTACTCCCTGAAACATTATTGAGACAGATCAGAAACAACTGTTTCACGAGGACCTCGTTAACTGGCACACGTTTATCAAATACCCAATAGGAGGTCTTCAGCCAATATTCTAGAGCGTCATCTGGATCAAGGAGTTGATAAACGTGGTCAAGAGGTGAACTGAGCATGTCTAGTAGGAATGCATCTTGATTTTGATTTTTTTTTTTTTTAATTGTTCAGTTTCTATATTTAATATTACCATTTTTTTTTTTTTTTTGGGGACAAGTTTTACGCCTCTTTTTATTCCACGCGCAAATTATTCCCGTAATGATCGCTCACTGCTGTAGTGGACACGTTGCATTCTATAATGTTACCAGGACATGTCACATAAATATGAAGTATAAGTGTTGACGACAATTTTGTTATTCTGGTAGCTTGTTTGACAGTGTTATCATCATAGCCATCTCCTTATGAGATGCAATTTTTCTCTATTTCGAAGCCCCACTCTGGCTCTTGCCAGGGGCCGAAATATAACCCGACCATAAATATGGTTTATTGGCTAAACGCGGTTTCTGGGACCTCTCCACGGGTGATCCTCATCCACATGGTGGCACTCTGTGTCATCGGGTGTTTATCATTTGTGTGATGTCCTGGTGGGGTAAAAATCTACTCTACTACTACTAGCTTGTTTGACTAGTTGTCGGAAATGTTGTATTTTAAGACATTTATATTGAAGTCCCCAAGAATTATAATTTCTCCTACATTATTGAACACTGTATCCATCATACTGGTGAAGTTATCACACCATATGTTATCAGCGCTAGGATTGCGGTAGAGATAACCAACTACGATGGGTCTGTGATTGTTTAGCTCAACTTAAAAAAAAATATGCATTCTACATCGCTAGTCTCTAAATCTATTCTACGGTGAACATAAGGTGAACTACTGATGTAGACCGCTATACCTGTCTCTTGTTTCTCATGTGGGTCTTTCCTAATAACATTAAAACTTTTGCTATGTATATCATCGTCTGCATTGTTGTTTTTTAACCTACTTTCGCTAAAGCCTAACATCTGAAAATTGTGACTAAGAATAAGTGTAGCTCGGGCAGTTCTCCAAGAAGATGGCACATATTTAGATGACCTAATCTAATCCCAGCTTAGTCAGACTTTTTAAAACTACAGTGTGACGATAGAATATAAGCTTTGTCAACACCAGCGTATACTAAGTTACACAATACAAATTATTCTGGCAATACAAGAGTAACACAAATTTACAACAATAAAATAGTAAAGAAAAGAATAAGGAAACGCAAATTAAAATGGTGACAGTGCGACAAAACTGAATT